GGCTAGGGCCTGGCCCACCTGTAGCTACAGGAGGCTCTGACTCCAGCCCGGCAAATAGGAAGGCAGAAGCCGAAGGTAAGATAAGGGAGGGCAGTGAGAAGGGCAGGAGCCAGGACAGCAGAGGAGGATAAGGGGTTGGGGGCAGCAGGCACCAGGGGAGCTGATGGAGCAAGGGGAGGAGACATGGCAGCAGAGGGAAAAGGTAGAGGTTTGAGATATGTATTAATAACTTGAGTGCCACAGTGGCACATCCAAACAAGTCCCATGAACTCAGTACTGGTGCACAACACAAAATTCATTCTGTTCATGGGAGGAAACTCTTAGAGGGATACTTCCCCCAGCCTCTACACCCCCGAGTTAATGTCACACACTTTGGGTTAATGCAATTGCAGGATAGTTGCATGAGGGGGGTTTGGTGGGGGTCAAATTAATCCCTATTGTTAGGAGGATGGTGGGAAAAGTACGGGGCAGGGGGTGTCACATGACATCTTTTACTTCTGGTGATGTGTCCATCTTGCCCTGAGAATGTTACTTCCAGAGGTGTGGCCAATGGGGCTCAGGGGTGTGGCCAATGGGGGTCAAAGTGCATTTTAAAAAAGTTATTTGGGTGCACACCCTAATGAAATGTGCTGCGCACGCCTATGCCTTTAATTTATATGCAGAGCAGAAAGAACACTGGTTTTACACACAGTAAACTGCATGGAACATGTACACCTCACCCTTCCAAACCAGGAAAAAATAAAGATCCAAAATGAAGGAGTTAAAGAAAAAAGCAGTTTGAAGAGGGATGAATGTTTAAAAATGTATGAAATTTGCAAACATCTAAATGTCAAGATTCTGTCTTTGTGACAATTTATAATACTGACTAGAGAAATAGGTTTCTGTTAGCATTCAAATCCAGAATGAGTGCTGCACATTCTGAGGTGCAGAGGCTCAGATATTGTGTTCATGTTGTGTGTGATCTACAAAAAAGTGACCTGAACCCTTTTTTCTATTTTATTGCAACTACAGTATTAGGGAAATTAGAAACTGTCCATTATTTAAGGGGCATAGCAATTTCTAACTTGAAAATACTTCTTAGTAGCTTATGCTTACTCATTTGAAAAATAGCAATGTTACATGGCACCCCTCTCATTTTTGTTTTATGAAAATTATGATTTTGGCTTAAAACAAAAATGTGACATGTTGGGATGAATCATTCAGATCTCAGCAGCACTTCTGCAAACGTTGAGTAACTGTTTAGGTGAATGGAGATTTATAGTGGTGTAGCCAAGATCAAAATTTTCACTAGTCTTAAATAGCTGTATAAAATCATTATAACTTCCTGGGGCAGGTACTCAAAGAAGTTTATGGTCTCTTAAACCCAGGCATAAGCTAGTCTATATCTGTTCACTTGAATTTGTTTATGTAAATTATTACATTTGCTGCAAATGTTTAAAATGATCCCTTACACTTTTACCACAGGAACCTCCACAGAAATGCTGGCTTGTAGGAAACCACTTACTTTCATGAGATTCAGTCATTTGACAGATTTAAGAGACTGGCTGTCAGTGGAACTGAATTCAGTGACAGGATGATTGTCTCTTAAGTGCAATATAAATGCAGAAGATGTTTAATTAGACATTTGAATAGGATACTCTAACAGGCTTGAAGGCACCTACTTTAAAAGCAAAAGGAGCTTTATTTTTGTTTTATAAAATGATCTACTCACCTGAGGACTCTGGTGCCTTTTTCAGACTATAAACAACCTTCTTCTGGAGGCAAACTTGCTCACTTGCATTCAGATTCAGAAGCCCCCGCTCTTGGGCTTCAGTGTGGGCCTAATTACATGCTCACCAAAGTCAACAGACACACACACTGACTTCAGTAAGAATCATAACAAGTGCCCAGAAAACAGGACTGAGCTTTTGACACCAACCGTGCAGCAGATTCTCTAAACTGCTTAGCAAAAAGTTTGTGGTGCCTTCTTTCCCAGGGCTCAATGGAAACATCCCCATATAGCGATACCACCTCCAACTTTGAGGGACACTCAGACAATATATGGGGATCTTTACCTGTAGTATAATAACAAAAA